AACCCCTTCTCACAAATTATTTAGCCAGCCAGTCTAAATAAAAACATTTGCCAAAATTGCAAGCGGTTTATGAGTATTTTTCTATGTATTTATTATTTCTATTCTTTTAGAGAGATTCAATTCATGCAACGATTTTTGTGTATAAGTGTTTTTTATTTCCTTCTGACAGAGAAGGATATATACTCAGAGTTACACTCTTCATTGTTTCCATCTAGTAAATGTAGTAAATTATTGCTAAGTGTAAACAATATTCTTTGGTTCTATTTTTTCTACTGTGAAATTTCTCCCTGATCAGAAATTAAATTTTCTACAGTAAAAGGAAGATGTGCTGTGATTATATGGACTGTCGAACATCACAGAGCATATTTGGTAGGAGTTAAGTTCACTGCTGCTACCAACTCCAGCTCACTTCAGTAGTTACTGCAATGCTTTGTCTCTGCTGCTGAGCAGGGGAGCATGAAGGGCTTGACCTAATTTCATAGTGGACACTGTGCTGAGGAAGCTCAGTCTGGCACAGGAGTTCCTCTGCAAATTACACAGGAAAAGCAGATAGTGTTTTAAGGGCATATTGATTCATTATTGTCTCCTGGGTACAAATTCACATGTTGATACATGGATGCATCATTAGATCCAAATTGCTGTTGTTTCTCAAGCTCCTCAAGAGAATATTCCACCTCATTGATGTTGTTGTGTCTCGGATATTTATTATTCAGGGAAATAATATCTGCAGGCTCTGTAGCTTGAACTCGTTTATGGTGGCTCCTGAGCTGGGAATACGTTTATCCTCTTGTAACAGAGGGTAGTGACATGGAGAGCACATTTATTCAGACTCCACTTAGTACAAAAATAGGGGGGAGACCGTCTCAGGAATCAAATTCTGTCTTGTACCTCTACTGAAATCAAAATCAACAGAAGTAACTCTTGAGCTAGACTAGAACATGATAAAAATACAGACAAGTCTACCTTTCTGTGTCATATTGGTATCACAGAGCCTTTTCTGGTTCTGCCAGGAGTTAAGGAATGCAGTCTGAATCCACACTGCCTGTCAACCCTTTTCCACATCCATTCCTCATTTTTTTCCCCTCCATCTTTTCCTGAGTATATTCCCATCTAGTCCAGCCATTCTGGGTATCCAATTTGCTTGTGAAGTGCTTTTTGTGTCTGACTGCTGTGTAATGCCTAGAAACACTGAATGGTTTCTATGGGCAAAGCCCTGCCACGGGTTGTAGGGTAAAGTCCATTTAGCAGGCACCATACAGGGGCTGTTATCTAGAGGAGGGGAATGGATTCACTCTGCTGTAGTTTTCCATTAGTGTTCTATTGTAAACTGCATATTTTCACAATTCCTTTTCAGTTTTTGTTTCTGCTAGTCAGTAATTGACATTTGTTTTCTCGCTGTCATGACCTCAGGCCTGGAGGCTTAACTCAAATTGCAGGCAGTGCTGTCACTGGCAAGAAAAATCCTCTTGCTGAAATGGGTAAACATGATTGAACAAAATGTGTAGGCCCTCTTAGGCCTGAATGGAATGCAAGTTAGAGCTGACTCAGTAATTGTTAGCAGCTCTTGTGTATCTTGGGCAAGTGAAGATGGAGATCTCTGATTTTTGGGAGTCTGGTCTGTTACGTCTCCACTTGTGCTTACCCCAGTGTAGGTTTGTTTTTTCCTTGGTGTATTTGGTCAAACAACAGTGTGTGTCCAGTTTACAGAGCAGAGCTGGGAGCAGCTCAGGAAGCTGTTCTGTGGCCTCAGCTGCTCTCTGGTTTGTCCTCTTTGCTCGGAACTCCTACTACTGCTCAAAAAACCCTAGAGAAATGGGTGTTAACTTATGGGAGACCCCAAGGCAATGCAGGTTGGAGCCTGGGACCTGTAGTGTGTAGAAATAACAGAAAAATGTTAAAGAGCGGACTTCACTTTCTTGGATTAACTTTTCTGATTATCTTGTATTTATTTAGTTGAAAATTCATCTATGATGTTCAATGGCTTTCACTACAAAGTGTAGAGTATGCCCACTTGTTATTTCATATTCTGCAGTGAATAATTCATTGTGTGAAATTGATAGTGAAGGCTTTCAGCTGTAATTGCTGGAGTCTTTGAAATATGAAACTGAATTCTTACAATGAAATGGGCATAGGCTGAGTCATTTAGGAAGTTTGTTTAGGTAAGCTGTCAGCTACAGACTGTTTGAAAAGATACTTTTGTTCACTTGGTTGCCTATTGGGTTTATCTTCAATTTAGCTTTTATAGATTCATTATTTAGAAATGCATTTATACTCTGTAGTGTGTGTGCATTTATTCAGCATAGAACACCCAGGAGAAAGATATTTTCCAGACACAATCTGTAATTTTTCTTTTTCTCTGCCAATACTTAGTGACATGTTTTAGAATATCCCAGTTCTGCTTATTAGTCTCAGTCTAGTGTTTGTATCAGGTCTTGATTAAAATTTCTTTAAAAAAAAAATAGAATTTTTCTCCTGAAGATTTGTTTCTATGAATTTTTCGTAGTACAAGTCAATCACACAAATCTGGTGCCAAAATGCAAAGTGATATGAGAATACCATCAAAATAAGCATGCGTAAACAACTGAATGCTTTCCAACACTTGCTCAGCTGTATTTTACAAATAACATTGAATCCATTTATGTTGATTTTATGTCTGCTAGCTGAATTTAATTAAATACAGTAACTTAGTATTCTCCCCGTATTTGTTCAGGTCTTTAAATTTCAAGGGATTTTTGAGAAATGGGTATTTAATTCAGACTAATACAGTAATGGTAAATTATTCTTCTGTTTTCAGTATTTGTCTACAGATTTGATTTCTACAGTCACTAGCATGAGAATATAAATTAAAACTAATAAAACAAATGGAGGAAAAACAATGGAAAATTATTATTATTAATTATTATTCTTTTCTGTAAGCTTCTTAAGTAAATCACTACAGTCATGTCTACCTAAGCCAAATGGTGGCATTTGCACGTGCCAGGAATTCTTCAAGAAAAGTCTCTTGATTCTTTCAGGATACAGACAAAATGATGTGAAAAAATGTTTCATGTTTTGTTGCTGGGACTGGTTGAACCTCCCGGTGATAGCCCAACACCCATGAGCTGATTATTTCAATGCAATTTTAAGTCTCCAGAAGACATAAAATGTATGAAGAACTGTGCACGACTTCCCTCCTTTTGTCAGGTATTAGCTAAAAATTGCTTTGAGGAAAATTTAATTCAGTTTCTATATTTGGCTCTTACATTTTAACCTCCTAGCAAACAAAATAAAAAGGGCAAAAAATCTTTCTCGGTCTTTATTGAACAGTTTTATGTAAAACTGTCAGTTCTGAGTGTACAGGTTGACTTGAAAGGCTGTCACATGACAGGCTTCTCTGAATGTATCATTTCAGGTGCGCATCAAATGGTTTCCTGTAGTAACTGTTCCTTGGAGAATGGAAAATTTGTTCTTAAATTAATCTTGCTGTTCTCTGCTGTCTTTTTTTCTCCTTTATTTCCTAAGAGCATATCTGTATATTTGCTATCTTAACTAACCAATGGAAATGGAATTCCATTTAGGATTTTGGTTGCATCAGTTGTTGCTGAGAAGTGAAGCTGCAGGAACAGCTGTCAGTTTGCTTAGGTTAGCTCAGCTGAATTAAGAAAATTCTCACAAGTTGATTTTTTTTTTTTAATGGGATATTTACTTTCCTAAAAGAGATTATAACAGCTTTTAAAGCAGCACTGAAAACTCTCCCATGTCAATCATTTTGACTTCATGAAATATGTGAGGTCCAACTGCTTGTGCTACTCTATTGCATTTACTTGCATTTTGATTCATAACAAGGTTTAAAGCAGTCCTCTGCTGTAGAGTTAATGCTTTTTCCTCTTATCTTCCACATGACAACTTTTGATCTCTAAATATTTCTCTGTCAGAAGCAGTGAAACACTGAAGTGTACTGTGTAAAGCTGTGGATTATAAGGGATGGTTTTACCAGCTTGCCTGATTGCTTCTGCTGTGTGCAGCTGAGGGAGACCACTACAAGCAGTAATTGACTGATTTCATTGTTATTCCTTTATCCCCAGTCTCAGGGATAAACAGTTAAGTGGGTAGTGATTACATTATGCACTAAAATGTGTGCCATTTTTCAGTAGAATAAACAACCACAGAAAAATATGATGAAAGTGCTCCAGGTAAAAAAACTCAGAAGCTGTTTACTCCAGCCTTTCTGGTTTAATTCACAGAGCCACAAATGATATATTCAGGAATTCTTTTTGCATTTTGTCCACAATATTGTTCTGTACCAGGAACCACCTAATCTCTTGATTATTCTCCTTTTGTATTTGAAACTGAGTTTGCTGATATTTTCTTACATCAAATCTTGTTAATTGTAAACAGAGTTTGTGCCTACTGTTGACACTTTGAGCTATACCTGGCAGAAATACAATTTGGAATCTATGATCTTAGAGGCATTCTTAACTCTCTAAAGGCTGTGCATAACTTCTCTAAATGTTCAAATATACTTAAGACAAATCTAATTTTTAGTATTCAGGGAAGAAGTTTGAGCATGTTTAAACACCTTAAAATCTCGTCTAAACATCTAACCAATATCTCCTGGAAGAATCTGGTTTATGCATGTGATGTGTTACATTTTTAGAAGGCTGACATCAGCATACAAATTATGTGTCCTCCCTTCCCTTAGCTACTTTTCCCTAAGCAAACCTGAAAACTCCAACCTGTGTGTAATGAGAAACACTTGTGACCAAAACCAATGACAAATGCATAGCATTACACAACATTTTTTATATGTGTGTGCATATATAGATATACACCTACCTAATTCATTATATTTTTTAGGACACTGATATATCAAATTGTACACTTACAAAACAGCCAGATTCCAGACAGTGCAAATCATATTTTAATATATTATAAAGCTATATAGTAAGCCCACTCCATGGGCTTCACATGCACATAAAACCAAGAGTTACATAAATAATATCAAATGACAAAACTGGAAAGCAGTTTCTGCATACTTTATTTTACAATTCCTCACTAAATATATTTACAGGACACAGAGTTTGCTTTAGTGCAATACATAGTAATGTTGCATAAGTACAAACTGTTGAACTTTTCTAAAAAAAATTAAAGAAATAAAGCACTTAACTGATGTTACAGCTAAGTATGTAAAGCAACGTTAATAACTCTGAGTGAAAATGCTAACAGCATCTTTTCTTCTCTTAAACAATTTCTAGAAACAAACCACAAACCGGCATTACATATTCCAAACTACTACCCCTTGTACAGTGCCATATCATTTAAAAAATCACTTTTTAAAAGCACATATACTGTACTGTACAGCAACCTGTTTCTACAGATACTGACTTACTCTTTTAATACAAATATGATATTACCGTGGCAGTTTTGAAGAACAAAGTTATCTCAAGATATCAAACATCAGTAACAAACTCTGATAAGCACAGCTTCTTGAGAACCTGCTTTAACAGCATTTCTTCACAGTGATATTTATGAAAGGTTGGAAAAAGAGATTAGCATAAAATATTTCCATCCTTTTCAGTTTTTATGCAAAAATCATTACTTTATATTGGTAATTATAAAATTACAAACACTTTCTATAAGTAACTGCATCTGTAGTAATGATAGAAAAAGTCATCAGTAAGACACCTAAAATGAGGCTTGCATAACATGAGAGTTTGAAGAAAACTAGGTACACCTCATTTTTAAAAGAAGAGGAAGGGATGTAACTTAATTTAGAATAAGCAACACAGTTTAACAGCGATAACCTGTTATCAATTAAAAAAGCTACTTACTTTATTAATAAATGTTAAGCAATAATGAAATTGTGATGAGGTGAAATGAACATTTAAAAAGAGATGATGGAACATTTACTCTTAATCTTAGTTTTGGCACTTCATTGGAACAATTACTTTACCAAAGACCAAAATATGTATAAAAGATATACAGCTCCTTGACATACCTTGCAAATATAGTACATAAGTACTGGCAAACACTGAAAACATAGTTAAACATTCCACAGATTTGCACATGCATGCACTAGTCAGACAACAGCGTTGGATTTATGCTCTCGGCGGTGACAGTCTTGCATTCCTTGAGAATCTTAGGCCGTTTCTTCAGCGGATCTTGTTTCTGTTTTAAGTCTTACAAATTCTTTAGCAACTTCATCATTGTTCCTCTGAGAAAGTATTCTAAGGATGGTTAGGCCAGTCTCATCCACGGAGATGCTCCTGAGCAGGGGGTACCAGGCGGCACAGCTGCCCCTGTCGGCGATGGCCTGCAGCTGGATGACGGTCATGCCGATAACGCGATCCTCCCGCGCAAAGCAGTAATCCTTCACCGACAGGTGCACCTCGTAGGCTCCTGGCTTATCTTCATTGCTCAGCAGGCTGTGAGGATTAACAATATGAATTTAGAACAAGGAGTTCAGTTTAATTTCCCCATGGAATGAATTAATTCTAGAAATCTTGGGCAAATTAAAGTGAGAGTGAGTGGTAGTTTAAGTTTTGTGGTTCCATTTTGTTACAACAGGATATCTAGTTAAACTTTCTACACAAGTAACCCTTCAGATGGATTGGTGATAGAGCCTCTGTTCTCAGCAGCCTCAACAGAAACAGAATTCCCTCAATAGCTGGAACAGACAGCTACCTTTCCCTGTAAAGGACAAAAATGTTCAGCTGGTTCTCCAGCTGTCAGGACCATTACTTTAAATCAGCTTCAAAATATACAGCAAATCCCTGGCAGCAGGCATCAAAAGGAGCTTTGTGGTGAGACACAATGAACTCATTTTTAGTCAGGGTTGGAGGGTAAGGGGAGGAAAATAAATTGGTCTCAGGAAAGGGCAGAGAAGTACTAAATTTAAAACTCCAGGCTAGGTGGAAGCCCCTTACTGATTTAAGGATTAAGTTAAACAATACTATTAACACATGCACAACCCAATACACATTTTGATATCTCTGCAGGTATTATCTAGAAATAATAACTAATGCTTCTGTCCAAACCAATACCTAGGCCAATAGATTCCTAGGGATAGAAATAGTTTATTCCTCTGTAGGGAAATTAATTGTACATTTTAACCAAGTTTTGTAGGACTGAAAGCCTGGTGACTGCCATTCATTTTCATATAAAACAAAGAAACAAATTAGTAAATAATTTTGAAGTGGTGTCTATGTATCTGTTAGGATGGCTTTTTTGTTATTAATGGTTTAAAGGTAAAAGTGTTTTAGGGAAATTTTCAAAAAATATGCAACTCCTAGACATAAAAGACTTACAACTGGAAAGTTTCATTGTACTTTGGTGACCAGGTGTTGCTCTTTGTCTTGGTTCCATGTTTTCTTTTCTTGTCACTTAATTTGGGACCCAGCATGCAAACTTCCACAAACGGCCGGAACATAGCTGTTGTTTGCCAGTTTAGATTATTAATTGCTACAACTATAAAGAGACAAAAGAAATTAAGTTAAATACATTGGAAGTGTGCCGCTTAATTACCCTGTATGACTTGGTATAGGCAGTGAAAGGTGATCTGAGAGCTTTCCTGTGGGATATCAATACCTGGTAAGCCTAGGAGGATGCTTTGCTCCTTCCCTGCCAAGTAAAGTCTGACTACTTTTAGGTTCAAAAGTATCAAGTATAAACATGTATTTTACAAATCCTTTACATTTACAGCTTCTTTTTGTCTGCTGCCTTCACTGCAATTAAAAAAAAATCAGCTTATACTAATCTGAATGATCCTGTGTTTCTGAAATTCAGGTTGTGCAGAACAAAGGCACTTTGTTAAAAATGCAGCTTCTTAAGACTTGGTGCAGTCATTCACCACTCAGCTTTGCTGTAGTTTTTGTAAGTTGAATTATGTACAAGCAGTTGAGAAGTATAATTTGGCACATTTTAATTTATAACTCTATAACTTAGTGTAATAACTTTAAATTATCTACACAGAGAAGCATAGACAGTACTTGTCTGCATAATCTGAACTTTTGCTGATGTTGAGCAAGGAAAAAGTGCACTCCTAATCACTTGAAGCGTCCTCAGAGTTTCTCAAGTACTATAATACCTATCATTTTTTATTTTAGTATTGGTATGTTTGACTTAGGTTGTAGTGCTTGGAGGTTTGGTCATTGTTGTTGCTTTGCTTTTAAAGTTGGCTGTTTGAAACTTACCTTTCACAGTGACTTTATGCTCACCAGTTCCAGGATGGGTAGAGATGTCCACTTGTACAGATATCTCACCCACTGAATTATTTGCAGTTTGACCTGAAACAAGAATTACTGGTTAGCACACCTGGCTTCTTGATGCATCAAGGGAAACAGACACCAAAGGTGAGTGGTATTTTTCTTTAGAAACACTTCAGAATTTCTAATGTGTTGCACATTTCAGCGGGAATCAGTTACAGATTCATAAGTGATTTTGCCACAAAAAAACTGGGCAATTGCAAATATCTGTGGAAAGTGCCTCATTGAAATAAAAAATCCTGTTCATCTGGAACTTTCCATTCTGGTTGTCATTAGGTGTGTTTGCATCTTGAAATGCCAAAGTTGGTGGGTTTGTCAAGCTTTTCATCTACCTCCCAAAAATCTTACTGCTAAGTGTGTATTTGGAAAGTTACTTGTATATCACTGTTGATACTTTGCTGAAGGTTTGTCTCAACAATTTACTGAAGTTCGCACTAGCACAGACAGAGGGGCATAAAAATGAAAGAAGATTAACGGAATGGCAGGAGAACCAGGAACTTATTTTTTAAAATTTTTGCTTTTGAGAACCAGAGGAGGTTGCAAGTCAGTTTGTACAGAAGGACTTTAAATATTGTCATGAAAGGCACCGCAATATATCAGATTATAACAGTAAAACATAAATAAAACCGAGTATGTTTACTTGTTCTTTGATTGGATGACTGTGAATATTGAATTCTGTGAACTCTACTTGCTCCCCAGTGTAATCTCCCATGAACCACATAATAAAGTAAATTTCTATCCCTTTAAACTGGCTGCTATTTCTGTGGGTAGCAGAGAAAAGATTCTATATTCCTCTTATTTATACAAACATTCTTTACCCATTGGTTCCTCATCCCTCTGTATGAGAGGAGGAGCAAACATTCCTTTAGAATTTTTCCAGCAGTTCATATTAAGGAAGGGGTACAGAGAAGAGGGAGGGATGTCTTGTGTAATAATAATGGGGAAACTGATTTCCCCCCTTAAATTAGTTTAACTAGAGTAGTTTTTTCTATTATCATGCTTTGTCTTTTTCTTTCCTGGACTTCCTCACCAGTGGTTTTCTAGAAATGAACTCTACAGTGATGTTTATTCACTGTTTTGGCCTGATCTGTAATTATGTTCTCTACATGGCATGAACATTGCAAAGTCAATCAAATACTCTTACCCCAAGTGTTACCCCTTCAGAGAACAAGCCTTTTGTTACCTGATGTGTCAAAATGTGGAGATTCAGTGATCATTTAACAGGCTCAGAATCTTTGAACATTATTGTGCATTTCCAAGCTTTCAGGTGAGTTTGGCTTGGAACTGTTGTGAACCTACTTTTGAAACATAGCAGTGTTTTAAAAATGCACAGTGACAATGTTTTATTGTATTTATAGCTGCCACTTCTGAATTGCAAGGTACCTGTACAAATTTTGCTGTTAGATGTATTTCATTATCAGTCAGAGGGTTTAGACTACTAACTAACCCTCTAACTAACATGTAAATAATGAATTTATTAGACATCAGTTTTTAAATTACAAGATGTTTAGCTTCACTGGAAGTAATTAAGTTTCTTGTATTTGGATAATTATTTAAAGCTGTACTATATGGAAGCTCTGAGTTGGTGAATCATTCTATGGCTTGCTCACTATAAATAACACATAATTTTAAAAAGAATTTGTATAAAAAGGTAGGAACCAAATGGACCAGAAAAGCTAAATTGTAAGAATAATGCAATGGCTTTATTTAGAATCACAGACTGAAGTATATCTGACGATAGTAAAATTTGCTTTTACTTGGGAAAAGAAAGGAAATTCTCACTTGATGAAGGTCATAAAGTTAAAAGCTGGTTTTCTTTTCTCTTTCAAACACTGTGTCCATTAGGCCATATATCAGTGAGTAGCAGGTTTTTAATGGTGTGACATTTAACCCTTGGTGCTGACTTGTGTGAAAAAGCTTTCCCTTATATTTATGTGGATTACCTGGATTAAATGCAGACAATACCTGTAATTCAGAAAGCAGCTTGCCCAGGATAAGAATCCAATACTATATATATTTTTATATATAGGGTATTCTCATTGGCTTTGTGAAAAGTAAGTCAAAGAGAGCAGGGACTGGAGGCCCTAGAGCATTAATCTGTCTCATCCTTTCATATTGTGAAATTCCACCTTTTCACATTGTTCCATAATGCATGGAATTCAACCTCAGCACAGGTACTTTTTGTGGTGATGAACCTCATAATGAATGATGCGTTTGATTACATCTGCAGCCTTCCTTCAGCTCTGAAGTAGGAGTTGAACACACTGTAACTCTGTTCCAATTAAAAAGCTTTCAATGCCAAGCCAGAAAGGAGAAGGGAAACAGGAATTTGCACCATCTAAATCTTAGGGTAGCATAACCTGAGAGAGAGATTGAGAAGTTCTTGAACCCTCTCCCAATCACAATTAGTAATAATTTACCCCAATTGCAGCGGAAGATGAGTTAAGCTGATCCTGAGTATCACTGAAATGATCAGCTAGTGTCAATTATGTGTTCTAGCCTCTAGCTTAAAAATAAAAGCCCAAGCCAAAACCCCAGGAAAGTTTTAAAAGATGGCAATTAGCATTTTTATCTGATAGCCTTGAGAGCAGACTTTGGATGGTGGTAGTAGTGAAGTGTGCAGTGTTAACCTCTAATAATGACAGGTAGGATTTCATCAGGACAGGAATCTTATGAATCTGTAAGATTAGACTTGTTCTGTTTCTCCAACTTTTTTATTAACTTATGCAAAATATATTCTTGCAAAGGTCTCCTAATCAGTGTGTCTTTCCTTCTCCTGGTGTTCCATAATTGACAACAGTGCTCCAAGCAATACTGCAAATATGTGAATAGTCTTGTATGTACAGTGCTGCTTGATATGGTTATAAAGAAATTTGTGCAAAACATCACCCAGTTTTATACTAAAAGCACTTGACATTAAAATGACCCTACATCCAGTACTGCTGAGAAAACCTCCTTTACAGAATATCTCAGTGAGCACAGACAGTTTCTAGTGGCGTCTAGAACATAAACTGGGTTTCTTCTAGTAATCACCCCATCAATCTTTCTCTTTCTGACTTGCTGAACAAACTAGAGATACAATTCCAGGACGTTTAGTATTTACTTATAGCATCTCTTGCTGACATTCAAGAACTAGGGTACTTCATTTTAAAGTCTCTGATCTGTCTGTTTCTGCTGTTTTGTTTTCTTTTTTTGCTACCAATTCTTGTGCAGTCACAGCAGGAATTAGTGATTCTGACTGCACTATGGAAAGGTCCATTTATCCTACTACATTTAATAAGCCAATTTAGCTGACAATAAATCTCTTCATGCACTGCAAAGGATGATTGCACTTTTCTTCCTTCAGTACTGTAATATAACTCATTTGAAGGCTAACAAACTTACAAATTATTCTGCCTCATGTTTGAAGACCTTATTGATGTTTAATTATTACTGCTTGTTCTCTAATATCTGCTTTACATTTTATTTGTTGTTATGTTTATATCATTTAAAATACAGCATCCTCTTAGTGGTGGGTCTTAAAGTGATCATGTCCATTTAAAGTGCAGTCATTCTTTTGCAGCAAATAAACTGTTAAGAAGAAAAATATCTCCTTTGGCCAAAGATGCTTGCTCCTCAGGGATAGAAAGGCCTAGAAGTCAGGCTTTTATCCCTCCTGATTTAGCACCTGGAATGGCATCAGTGTGAGAGCTGTTGTAGCACTAATGATTTTGACAGAAGACAGACATTTTGGACCAAGGTCCAGGTCATGTATTTCTTAGTCGTGACAATCATAATCATGAGATGTCCACAGAGAAGTTCCATTGCCTTCTGTTCCTTATTTGATATCTTTGGAAAAGGTGAACTTGTGTACTCTGAGAAAACAGCAAAATATACAAATGGAAAATGAGTCATGTACATTTTGGAAAAACAAAAGAGTGACTGCCTGTATTTTCTAGGATAATATTCCTGCTAAATACAAGAGACTGAATCAGTCTGTGATTGTGCACAAAAGCACCTTTCTGTGGAAGGATTCCTTTATGTTTTAGCAGCAAAAAGCTCTCAAATGAGGAGAACTTTGAAAACTAACTTCTAGGTTTGCATGAAAAAGAGAACCCAGCAGAAATAAATGGAATTCACTGAAAATGAGTTAGCATAAAATTTGAGTATGTGGTGACTTGCAGTTTTTTTGCCCCAAAGTAGCCAAAGATAAATAAGCAAGACTCTAAAAACTTTGTATCAAAATTTGTTTACATATGTTACATATGTTTCTCTCCCCCCCCATCTCTCTCTCTTTTTTTTTTTTTTTTGACTGTATCAAAATTTGTTTACATGTGTTACATATGTTTCTCTCCCCCCCATCTCTCTTTTTTTTTTTTTAACTCTGCCTCTAAGGGTTCAGGATTTCAAGATCTTCTTTACTTCTCTGAGGATTAGAAATCCAGTTCAGATGAAAAGCCACTACCTGCAAACCAAGAATCATGTATGACATGATTTTATTACCCAAGACTTAGAAAGCTGGCTGAGCACGGGGAGCCAGGTCAGCTGACCTGGCACTGGTGCCTGTGGAATCCAAACCTCTCCCTTTTTCCTCACTGGTTTTTTCAGTGTAAAGCTGCTCATTTAAATACTGGACCTGTGCTTTGACCTTATTTTCTAAATGGGACATAAGAATGAAAAAGTTGAACAAATATTGAGGCTTTCATGGTTTCCAATGCTCTAGGAATTACACAAGTAATGAAATCAGCACTTTAATCCAGACAAGCATCTGCCATCTTTTGATTGATGATGCCGATAAAATACATACATTTGTCTGGGGTTGAGCTGCTAATTTATTAGGAGAAAAAATATCAGGGTGACTCACTGTTTTTCACAGGATCCTAAGACTAATTTGGAGGAAAACATTGAGTGCATTTTTTAACATTTTCATTTATTCCACAAAGAGTAAGATAAAGCTGAATTGTTAGGAGATGGATGCAAGCTAGATGATCTCTGTGTGTGTTAGAGAAAAGCAAGACAGTAGAGAAAACTGATTTTATCATGATAACCACACTAACTGCAACACATGCTTTGCTTCAAGGGGTTGCTATACAAATGGTTGATAATGATTTGTTTTGGGGGATTCTGAGAACAAAGTCCACTACCTGAAAGATGACTTCAGCGTCCATTTATTCACCATACTGCCGTAAAAAGATTGAAAATATTTAGGTTTGTATTTGATTAGCAAATGTAAATAATTTGCCTAAAGAATCACTTGTGATGGAATTAAGGCTGGCAGGAGTTTGGGCAGTATCTGTAAGCCTCTCCACAACTGTGCAAAGCCACACTATCAAAGCACATTCCCTTCCACTGGAATTGTGGTGCCAAGCAGGGATCTGAGGCACTCAGAACATAACACAGAAGCAGGCTGTTGTGGTGTGAGTAGGAAGTCCTGGTGTGAGTGTTGGCATGGAATCCCCAGCTAAGGCTTTCCCTTCATCTCTCCTGGGAAAGCTCCACACAGCCAGGGCTGCAGTGGCACAGCTCACTGGGAGCCCCAGAGCTGCAGCTGCTGCTCTGTCCATGTGGCAAAGAAACTGGGCATGAGCCAGCCTCAGTCTGGGAGGTGGGGATCCAACTGGCCTCTATCCCTCTGGGGGTGCACGTAGATTTTTAATATATATTTATATATATGCATGTATTCTGTCCAGCGTTTTACCCAGGCCTCTGAAGAGGTTTCTGTATGTATTGAATGCCTGTTTCTAGTGGGAAGGTATTTTTAATCAGTGACATCATATAACTGATGGTTACCCGTAGCTTATGTTTATTTTCTTGAAAATCTAGAGGAAACTGATGCACAAATTTATCTAATTTAGGTGCTTTATTGTTTAATTTAAGGAACAGCTAGAGATTTTTTAATGTGACAGCCTCTGAAGTGAATATTTTGTAAAGAGCTTTTGCTTTACCATTGTCTGGTTTTAACTATGTATACTTTAATAATAATAATTTTTCTGCCGTTATTCTGAGTGCATTTGCTTTGCTATCAGCATATGCTGGAGTACTTTTATTAGCTATAATTCAGCAAGTTTCTTCTTTGTTCTTTCCTGTTTGTTGCTTGCAATAGTGTGCTGATTGCTGCAGCTTGTAATGCAGTTCTGGTTTTTTTTCATGAAATAAGGTTGTGTAACACATGGTTCTGACCTCAATTTGAAACTACAGTGGATGAAGCAGGGATTATTTCTTGAGTTAAATTCTGTCTGAAGTATGGGTTATGAGAGAACTGGAAATGCTCTGTAGGACTTAAATTTCCTGTTAGAATACAGGTATAGCTTTCAAAATATGACAGTTAATAATACAATGGTTTTGACAAGCAAAAGAATAGAAGGTCAGTCTTTTTCACCTAGAAGAGCTGCTGAAGAATTTAAGCAATTTTTATTTTCTGTAGTATGATGTCATCTATCTGCTTGCTTAAGCTATAGTTAATATTGGATTATTGTTTTAATGTCATTCCATTCATTTATGAAATATTGAAGTTATGCTTTTCTTTGTACAATTACATCTTGCAATGGAACACAGAACTGAATTTTGGCTTGGCAATTATAAAAAAAATTTGTCTTCATTTTTGATTGTGTAACTTCCTTCCCTGTGACTTCACAAGACAAGGAGGGAGTTACTGTTAGAGATAAGCATATTTACCTAATGAGTACTATATTTTCTTGTTTTCAGGTACATCTTCCCTTTTTAGCTTTAAATTGTCTGCCATAAGAATGAAGAAATCTGAATCAGACCAGCTGAAGCAAAGCCTTTTCTGCAGCCTTGTAAAAACACAGGTGGGGTTTGCAGTATGAGCTCTGTGCTGTGAGATGAGTATTGATTTTTCTGCTTAAGTGATACAAACTATATTAAGCCAAGCTAAAAAATATAGTGCAGAATCCTGCCATTGTGTATTATTCTCTAACAACATTTGTGAACTGGAGCTGCTGTAAATTTGTAAGGAAAAATATTTCCCTTTGTCAAATAAATAACCATTTTAGATGTGAGAGTGGTGTTTACTTTGGAGAAATTAGTGGCAATAAATGAGAGCTAATTCAGGAAGCTCTGTTTGAGACTGTTCTTTCATGTAGTTTGCTAAAATTAATATTTGTTCAAATGTTATTGGTGTTAATGCTAAACAAGTGTAAATAGTCACAGCATTGGCTATAGTTTATGAAATTACTGAAGATTCAAGGCATTTTCTAAACTAAACCACAGCCATTTAATTTTGATGTACTTTAAGTAGTGTAAAATGGGGAGGTACAACTAAAAAAGGTGACTGCTTCTCTCTTCTTTTTACAGGAGTGACTTAAGAGAAGCTTCACCAGTACTGGCCTCAGCACAGACTAAGGGTAAATCAAGTGTACCATGGAAAAAGTGGGAAAGTTCATGCAATAGGCCAGCAGAAGTGAAGTGAGAGTTTACCCTTTGGCTTTTAGATTGTCTTGATTGTGAAAATGTGTTGAATTTAGCTCAAGTTTGGTTAAAATGATCTTGTACTGCCTGACCTGAAATTTGTCCAATTTGTCTAGAGCTCTTGTCAATGTACAAAATATGTTGTCTTTTGCAGAAGCCTTGGGGCTTTCCTCACATTCTGGGCTGGCTGCTGCCTGCCTTCAGCTGTGAACCAGCCATGGGGTTCCAGCCCTACAGCACTGAACCCCCAAGTTGCTGCAACTGAGCTGGGTTTTACAAGTCAGCCTTGGCACTTTGCTGGTCTTCTACAACTGATTCATGCTTGGCTCAAGTGGGCTGTGCACAAAGAATGGTTTGGTTACAAAAGATTTTGAAAGCAAACCATATAATAATCTGAATGTATGCAAGAATGTTATCCTGCAGCTGATTTTTAGAGGAAAAACCCCACCTTTTTACAGCATGAGCTGATGTTTACTATTATTATTATTAGTGCACAAATAAAGTGACAGTTAAGTCCAGAGTAATAAAATCAATCAGATGTGGACCTCAGGTGATCTAGCTACTGGTGCACTGATGGTGCACAATTATTATCTGGCTGTGTTTTATGAGCTCTTTGCAGAGGTATCAGTCACCACCTACTGTGTTAAATGCTGGTCGCTTAGGCTATGGAATGCAGTTCTCCTCACTAAACTGCCTTCAGGATTTGCAAAATCCTTTAGGTCTGTATCCATGTCCATTTTAGGGACTCCAGCAGTGACCTGCTCCATGGAATGGTTCTTGGCAGAGCCAGCACTTGTGTATGGTTGAATAAGAAAACTGATCCAGGTGGATGTGCTTACAACAGGCACTGCAGAATCAGCTGAATCCTTTCTGGGTAATATTAAATGTGAGGTTCAGATAGGTGGAACTAAACTTCATTACTAGTTTATAAATCATTCTATGTGTTATTATAAAAAGTGTTCCTGTCAAACAATACTGATAATTTATTTGCAAAAGAAAATGCTGCTCTGCATGTTTTACATTGGTGAGTTGGGAATAAAACAGGACAAGTGCTTAGCAATTTTCTGGAAATGTTTATACAAAGGGGCAGCCATAGATTATACCCCCCTTACTATCCTATTGATACCAATGTTAAAATCTGTAATGATCAGAATTTCCACAGGATTTACTGTCCAAACACACAGTTGGAAGTGTGTGGCAGATCTGGGATAACAGTGAAGGAGAAACATCTCCCTCCCCCTCTGCCAGGCAGAAAGGCAGGTATTTAATAAGCTATGTCACTGATAAAGCTAATCTGGTACCTGTATGTCTGTATCTGTATTTATTAGACAACATTTTTCTTTTAGCCTTAATTTTCATAGTGATTACAGATTTGTGTTCACAACACTGAGTGAGTATTAAATATACAGCTTTCATCAGCACAGAATCATTATAGCTAGAAAAGACCTTCAGCCATGACAAATCATTATGTGGAGAAAAAGAAAATGAAAAAAACCAGTTACTGAAAAAGTTACTGTCAGATTATGCTCCTCATTGTCATTTACTTATTCCAACACTTGTCTGTTTTAAAACGTCTTGAGAGTCTATAGTGGTGCTTTGAAAAGAAAAGTCATCAGAGTAAGATTACAGAAGTTAATTTCACTATTCCTGTTGTGTGATAATTTGCTTTTAGAGCATGTGACTATAACAATGTAGTCTCATGATGCATTTGAAAAAGGCAGTAGGAATTGTGCTTTCAACTATTTAGTGTGGTGAAACCACCACAGGAAGATCTGTGAATCCCCGAGTCACCATTTTCAAAGTTAGGAATGGTTTTATTATTATTATTATCTTATGAAAATTTCTATGTTGCCAAGATCTGTAGGAATGTGTGGGCACAAAGGCTGGGAAACAAAATGCTGGTTGAAGCAAACATCCTTCTTTAGAAAGAAAGAAATAAATGGTGGATATTTAGAAATAGTGCAGATCACAGTATTGGATAATGTGGTTATTCCTACTGAACGTGATCCTGCACAAGCACGAACACAGGAGGTATCAACGAGCATGACACACTTTTACAGTGCCATTATCACAGAATTAGAGAATCACTCCAAGATCATGAAGTCCAACCTTAGGCTTTCTGTTTGTGTGGAGAGTTAACTCCCCCTTTTCATGCCAATCAGACAAATTTTTGCTCTTCAGTTTCTTAGAATATCTGCAGCTTAGTCATGGTGAGTGAGAAACTGTTTTGCCCTGTGGGTAAAAGTAAACCTGATTGTTGTCTGATTCTTGTGGTCATTACAGGAAAAACAAGCATCCAATTCTATCTACAGTCATAGTTATTATGCAATATATACTTTCTTTGCATTTATAATACTCTTTTTTCCATTGCTTTGAGCTTAAAATGATATCTGTGTATTGATTATGGATTGGCAATGTGAAAAAAAATAGGCCAAATATCAATCTAATTATATTCCAGAGAAGATTTCTGATTTGCCAACAGGGTGATTTTAACTAAAAGTTAATGATACAGTTATTGCTGTGAGGCTGGACATCATCATAGATGAGGATTTAGTTCTTTTAAATGTGGCATTAAAGGATAACGAAAAGCTTTCAGTCACTTTTCCTTAAGTTTCATTCCCAATGGCTACATTTCTAACAATACTGGTGTGAAAATATAGGCATGGTAAAGTGTGCACAGAAATGAACACAGACTTCAGGCTGAAATCATGATGAAAATCAGAAAATTCAATTTTGTAGTTCAGAATTTATCACTACTTATGGCTACAACTTAATTATTTTTTCCTTCTGAAGCTACAGTGAAGGTATGTGTTAAAGAAAAGCAAAATACACCTAGAAGTAAGTAACAATTTTCTGCCTAGATCCATATTGCTAATTTTTTTCTTTTTGAGAGGAGGAAAAAAGGACTCTACTGCCTGCTTATAAGAGTTTTATAGCTATTTTTGCGTTTGTAATATATGAGTTACTAACAGCGATCTCAGTTTCAATATGGAACCAGCTTAGGAAATCATTCCTCAAAAATAATCTTGGGGCAAGCTGCAAAACTCATGTTTCATGCTTTTTATACTGCAAGTAACATATTATACTTCAGAAGTAAAAACAATTATTTCCAGATTTACTGTCCAATTAAAACTTTCTGATTCTTATGAGCTTGAGCAAGGTAATTCATTAGATCAGTAAATTGTGTTCTTTCCCAAAGACATGAAGTGGCAGGTAGATAATTTTTTACAAATGCTCATTACATTCAAAAGAAATCTAGTAAAGATTATTATTATGCAAAAATTTGCAGCTTTCAGAATGAAGAAAACATTCAGCTTGGAATATAATGTGTGCAGTGCTCCTGCAAATAACCCTGGTGCTCTGTGTGCACCCAGGGCTCAGGGATTGTTCTTCCTGTGCAGTCACAAGCCCCTAAAGGAACTGCCCTCAGGTAAGCCCCAACAACAGCATTAGAGAAGGGATAACCTCGATAACATCCCATGGGCAAATCTGTGTCAATAAACTCTAAAATACCACAGGGGCTAGTAATCTGCAATCAATAATTTAGAACATGTAAAATGTAATAGGATGCATTTCTGTGTCCCTTGCAGATCACTTACTCTGAGAAGTTTGCGTGGCTATAAACTTCTTTATCAAGGCGTCAGTAGTCTGTGTGTAAAGGCTGAGAGCGTATTTGAGGGACTGCAGGTCTGGGCTCTTCTCCAGGAAATTCTTTTTCAGCCCACTTCCTCCAGCATGGAAGTATTGCTAAAATGAAAAAATAAGTATGGCTGTTCACAGAGGAAAAGAAAGACCTCAGTTACAGACATACAACTTCAAGCAAAATTCTTAAATGAATGTTTGGAATTAGCAACAGGCATGTCTAGATTTATTATAGCATTTGAGATAACTCTCATAATCTCTAGTACAAAGCTTCTTTCCAAGGGTAAAAAAATTAAGTATAAAGGGAAGAAATATACAAAAGTTTGATTTTGGTCTTCATGATCTGAAGTATTAATTTGCAAAACTGGAAAATATTTGCAGCATTCTTTTAGGTTGCAGAGAGTGGAATGAGTTTTAATTCTTTATCTAAAAAGCCCCAAAACAACAAACCCCTCTTAAATGAAGGCATGGTTTACAAGCCAGTGCTCATAAAATATACAGGATAAAGGACTTATACAGGGAAAAGGGAACTTTGTAAAAAATTTCAGAGAGAATACTCTAGAGTGTGAAGTTATTGAGTAGCAATGTGAAAAGAGGACTTCTGGTTCTACTGGCATAGCTAGATTTGGAAAAAAAATATGCTTCTAACTTTGACACATCATTGTTGACTATATGAACCATATATACATATATATATATATATAAATATATATTATGCTTTCAATCCCAAAGCTGAGTTCAGAAAAATTAGGGGACAGATTCTTCCCTTTTTCCTTCCACAATGAAGAATTTTTCCTAAAGCTTTGTACAGGACAGTGTTTGGTGAATTAATACATGTTAGCCACAATGAAAAGATAAATGTGCTACATACCTTCATTTTGTTCAAACACCTTGCAAAGCATTTTGCAACCTTCATTACAGTTCTAGGTCTCAAGATCAATAAAGCTCCCATTAATGGCTAATTAGTAAAAATAAACTGTTTTTCAGGAGCACAATGACTGCTTGATGAGATACAGTATTGGTCCACTCTGTACAGGGAGTCTTAGGGACTGTGAGCAGAATTTCCTCTCCCTGCCTTTTTGCAGTGTTGCCAAAGGAATAGATGCAATATCTACATTCCAGTTCACATGCACACATCTCCTCTAAATGCTGTATCCCAGCTTATCTGGCCAGCTCAGACCTACAGTCCACATATGCCCTTTGCACACATTTCACCTTTCAGATCTCAAGATTCTGCAGGAGATGAAACATAAATTTTTCATAACAGTTATTATTTACATTTCTGTATTGCTGCCTATTGACTTTTAAAGGGAAAAAGTATCTGTAGAAGCAAAACAGAGGATTTGAAGTCATCAGGCTGCAACATTTTATATTATTTTAACACTGTGGGGGCACTTAGTGTCAGTTTAAAAGGTTCTGAATAAGTCTGTCTTTCCAAGCAAAATATTTCATACAATATGTTCCAAAAAACCTCTCATCTTAATTGCTCAAGCATTTAGTTATGATTTCACTAAGAATCATAATAATTTATAAGCAAGTGTTAAAATCTGTTAATATTTCCTGCTATTGTGACAATTACTGTGATTTTTTGAAGTTGTCTCTCCCAGTAAAATGTTATCTGCAGCAGCAGCTACACATGGCTGAAAGCTCGATGAAAGCTGAGTCATATAAAGAAACAAAGACACCTGACCCTTGTTTTCCTGAGTTTTTAACTACTTTTTTTTTGTTTTCCCTATAAATGGTAATTTTTGCAAGCAAACCAGCCTGTATGGAACTGAGTATAGAAATATAATGAGTAAACAGTTTTACAAATTCAGATGGATCTGTTATTACCATGTTCCTTAGAGATGGAAAACTTCAAATAATTCCCCTGCTACTCTTGCTCCTCTCTGTAGGTTTGTAGGTGGCACAAGAGGTTTGAAAGCCACACTGACAAATGAAAGGGGCAGATGTCAAGTGCTTGAGCCACTGCAGCCTCAGCCCAAAGCTGCCAATGCCACACAAGCCCCTTTGGGTGCTGGTTTCTCTTTGTAGAGGGTCTCTGGGTGTACAGAGAACTGGGACATCATTGTCAATGGACATTGTCTCTGGGCTGACATAATGAGGTACCAGAGAACTCAGTCTGTGATAACTGAGACCAGAAAGCCACTTCTCCTAACTGTAAATTACAAATTAAGCTGAAAAATATTAAATAGTTATATAAATTGCTATGGTTCTCTTTATATAATACAAAGATTGATGATATGCTATATATATTCACGATTAAAAATATTACTTTAATTTATATTTGTCAAAGGATTAATAACACCATCCACTATTAAATGATGGTTGTTTCCCAGTGAATGAAATGAAAGGAAAAATAAAAAAGACTGTAAGTGGAGATACTTCCCTGCAAAACCCTTCCTTACCATAATCAGCTACCCAATTTCTGAACACACACGCACACACACACACACACACCCCACATGCCATTTTTGTCATTCTCCTATTCTTACCTGGGCAACCATGATTTTTGCTTTTAAATAAGCTGTATTTACTGAGCATTTCCAAAACAATTTCTATATTTTGATCATTAAACTTATGAACTACACTCCAAAATAAACTTAGCAGTTTCTTTTTTCTTGAGTTAACTCATAAAGTTTGCCTTTTTTTACTTTCTACCAGTATAAGCCCAATTTCTGCATGATCAAGGTTAAGTGTTTTGGAAATGATTTTGCCATATCAGCTTGTAAGTACAGCAGGCAGTTATAATGCACACAGTCATTGCCTTACAATTTGAAAGGGTTTCTCAGGAAGCATTCTTTAGCTCAGTTAATGAATGTTATGAACTATTATAATTTAGCACACAGATATTAGGATGCTGAATTAAGAAAGAGATTTTCCCTACTTAATCTTTTCCCTCCAAATCTAGACATTTTTAGTAAAATGGTCAACACCTATTCTCCCTTTGTAAGAGTTTAAGCACTGGAAACTTAGGCAAGGTTAGAGTTTACATTTTTCCCAATTTTTATGTGTTTAGAAAATTATTAGAGTCATATATTTCACGCAGCTTACTTTGGGAGTGTACTTCAATTTGTTCCATTTTTCAATTTGTTCAATTTAGTTCCACAACATTACTAATTCCCATTTGTTTTTATTTCTGAAAGAAATGCCAATTCCAATACAAATAAAAAAAAGGCAATTGGGAGCTCTCTCTGTTGCTTTTTGCTTGCCTTGCAGACTGTTTTATTGCAAAACACTTGGTCATCAGTATTTCCTCTTACCTATATCTTCAATTTTATACTTTAGTAGCTGCCTCCTTTACCTTCCTGATGTGCTGTCCCTTCCCAGCAGGCAGGAAAATATACTGTTATTCTAGAAACTGATTGCTTTTAAGTTATTTATACTAACTAATAATCCAGGCCAATGTGAAAAAGACTGATAAGCAAATTAAATAATATGTTAATTAATAATGTAGTAAATATTCCTAATGACTTTTGATTTCAGAAATCATCTTCATGAACACTGTGTGAAAGTCTGCAGTCTTTTATCTGAAAACCAATCAGTGCTTGTTGGGCATTCCAGCAGAGAGCAGGAAAGACACAGAGCTGTACCTTGATAGTAACGAGTGCCACGTCCATTATTGCACACTGCCTCAGGGTCAGGCTTTTGGCTTCCTCACGGATCACATGGTCCTGCCAAGCAAGAGAAGAGTGCAGTTGGTTTGAAAGAGACAGTATTGTGAATATCTGTTCTTTGCAAAACAAACATCCACCAAAAGCCCCCCAAGACTATGATTAACAGGGATTAATTCAGAATCCTTTCACAACAAATTATAACCTAGAGCAATTGTGTTGTTTCCTGAAAACACAGACTGTAGAGAACCAGATTCACTGGTTAATACTGAGCATTACTTCTTTTCCTAGGATGCATTATTTCTCTGTTTTGGGGGATGGGAGAAAGGTTAAAATTTAACTTAAAAATTATATTAGATGATATAAAGTAATTAATTTTAATAATAAACCTGACAGTTTAACAGATGTTTGTTAATGCTCTATGTTAAAAAAAAAAGAGGGGTTCCTATAGAACATGTTAGACATAGAGTGACTACACTCCTGTTAAATCTTTGTCTAAATAAGCAGTCAGTGATTTATTATGTGATATTTGAACTCCTCTAGCAAACTGCACAATCATTCATAGAGGCCCCAAATACCACATTTCTGTAGAAATGTGAAATCCTAATGGCAGAAATGCCTGGCAAACAGCTGACATCAGTATCAAATATATCTGCTGTCCATCCAGTGGACTCCAGCACTGAAGTGCTGAAGACTTTACTGCAGAGGTACATACTATGTTTCAATGCACATAAATAATCCACAGAAAGAAAATTGCTGGTATTTATACCTTAAGGGCTTTTTCAGAAGCAAAGTTGTTTTTGTTTTTGTTATGTGTAATGCTTGTAAGGCCTGGTTGTGCAATATGGGGATGATGGCTTCTTGACCCATGTAGTGATCACTTACCATATAAGCATAGAGTCTTCTACTCATAACTTGATTTTGATGAAACGGTGCAACAGTTATTCACCTCTGAGTAGTTACTGTCATATTCACTCTCATTATACTACATAAGAACAAGAATGAGGCATGAGGTTTGGCCTCACAGTCATTAATATTTCCTCCTTTTTTTGTTAGTGCAAACCAGTCACAGATTCATCTGGCTCCATTACCTTGAGTTTTGACAGTTGTCCAAGATCTTTGGCTGCACTGAATATCATCTGGGGCCCCTGTAATCACATTGAAAATTAAGGAAACAGACTCACGACAGCATGTTTGCTTTTTATGTCAACATAGTCTTATTTTCTGCTAAAACATTGGCCAAACTCTTCGTTGTGCAAAGCTAAATAAAAGTTTCAGTTGCACAGGAGACACATTTTCATTCAATTGATAAGGCCAAGTGCTTGAATGCCTGCAGCAAGATTCCCTCCAGTATTCTATAGCTGATACAAATATTGCACTTTCTGCTGAGAGTGGTTTTGTGTTCTCCTTTCTGCTGTCTCATTTTGTGTTTTATACAAAAGCTAAGGCTGTGAGTGTTCTCAGTGTGTGTCAGTGAGATGTTTGTCCATAACTGCAGCTCTCTGGTGCTGTGCTTACATTAACAATCATGCTGGGAAGTGAGCAGCCCTGAGGAACCTGCAAAAGCCTGTGTTGGGGGAATCCTCAGCTGAATAAAGCACGGCACAACAGTGTGCTGTGGGCCAGAGCCCCTTTTTTAAAGAAAACATATTGAAATGTTATGAAGTGAAAGCAATATTTCACAATAGCCAAATCCTGGCATGACACCAAAGGCCAATGCCTACACATTTGTCTCAGACAAACAGAATCCTACTGTAATTCCATGCTCACATCCTTTATCACCATTACTTCGAGCAACATAATTACCAGTGCAGTTACATGGCAGCTATCAGGAAGACACAGTTCTGATTAAGTGAATTTCATAAAAAAGTTTCATCCAACTTACACTGGAGTAATTTTTCATTAGACTTTCTGTTCCAAAGAGTTTCATTTTCCAGAAATAATTTTGCTTCCTATATGCTTCATTTGAAGAAAATGTAATATAGAACTGCAGTTTAAGTCTTCATTATTTTTTAGTAGCAAGAATGGTAAGATAAATATGTGTGTGTGTATATATATATATATATATATATATATATGAAAAAATAAACCCCCTTTCTGAATGCCTGTGCCTCTTAACCTCAAACAGAAATAAATATTCAGGGCTAGAAAATCTCTCAGAGTATCCTACTTTTCAGTGATTTTCTTTAATGATGTGTTCAATAGTGCACAAAAATATCAAAATAAATGGACTAGTTCACAATACCTACCAGAAACACTCTATATAGAGGGTACCACTAAGGAAACTCCCCTTTGAACAGATTGTCCTATGAATAATTGGTCCTGCATAAAGCTAATAAACACATTTCCTAACACATGATGGAAAATGCAGTTACCCAATGGAAATGCTACCTCTGTATTTGCACATCAAATTTGCACCAAGAAGTTTGAAAAGCAAATTAAAGATCTCAGAAATGTAAATTTGAAACTTATTGAAAGAGAGATTGATTTAATTATGCCTAGTTAACAAGGTCATTACAGTAAATATGAAGAAATTCAGTGTCTGGAGTCCTGGCCATGATCAGCTTGACACTAGAATTTTTAATAGTTCAGGTAATTTCATTACTATTTCTGCACCATTTATACATTTTCTATTAGAGCTTTTCTTCAATATATTATAATAAGATTTAATGATATGCCTTTGACTTATGGACCCTGACTAACAGCTTTTTAGCAGCTGAAGTGGTACCACAGGATGTGTAACAGCAAAGTTGCCAAAGGCACACTGTGGCAGCGTCACAATTAGCTTGTCATAAAATGGTCAATTTATTTTAAACAAGATTGAATAAAAGAAGAATGAACAGTTATGTTAAAAAAAAAAGAAAAAGAAAAAAAAAAAGACAATTATGAAAAGGCCTCCAAGCCAGGCTCTCTTTTGTGATCCTTTGTCAGGATTAGATTTCACTGTTGCCCTCGGCTCAGCCAGCAGGGTTCACATCAGGCCATGTCCCAAAAGAGGCTCCTGGGCAGCACCACTTGGTAAGGACAGCTCTCTTCCCTCTTTCCCTTTTCTCGGCAGGCTGGAAATGCAGCTCTGCCCAAAGACGACCTCCTGTCAAGGCTGCTATTAAAATCCCCCAAATCTTTAGTGCTATATTTGGCTGAAGCTTCCTGATGTTAATTAAGTGTTGCCTCAAGATGAGGAATGGCACAGCAGGCAGGCCTGGAGCATGGGCTGGGCATCCCTGGCTTTCTCAAACCTACACAAATGGAAGTGATTGAATTACTGATATGACTAGGAACACTCTTTGTGTAACTGTGCACAGTGAAGCCGAGAGAGAAATCAGATTTAAATGAAACCCCTTGTATGAGAGCACATGACTGTATTCATAAAAAGTGCTCTGATTTGGGGCAGGCAGTAAATGAAGGAGTGAAGTCTTCCTCATCCGCTAAGAGCAAGCTGGCTGCACGACTGTGAGACACCAGGGAGCAACACTGCCTGCAGTGCAGGTGTTACTCCTCGTGCTCAGGGTACAGAACAGGATAGTGTCAGACCCTTGGCAACACCTGCTCAGGCAATTATTACAATCCTTTGTATCAACTGAGAATTGCTCTGCAACACTTACGGTTTGGTCTGTCAGTGGTGGAAGCACAATTTGTTTTTCTATTTTGTTTAAGACTAACTTCCAGAGCTCTTTCAAAACCCGTTTCAGAACTGTCTTCTCACAGATTTTTGCAGAGACACTCAAGCTGGAATAAAACAAAACCACAAACCATTCACCAAAATCAGCATTATGGCTTCAGAGGTGTTCTATCATGCTCAGATTAATTGCCATTAAGGTTTATATTTTCTCTAGTAATAAAAATTTCTTAGTAGCTAAATTATTTTGCTATATTATCAGTAAATATTTTTGGCAAAAAGACTTGCACATTACAAACTTATATAAATCTCTGCTATCTAATTTAATGCTTAGTATATCACTGATGCATATTTATTGAAAATGCAAAATCATGATGAGTTAAAAGTTTGATGGATGATACAATTTAGCAATCCCACGCCCCTAAATTAAAGTTTTAGTATATAATTTGTTTATGTCTTAAAAATAAAGAGCAACTGTCTCTCTTGTTTTGTATTTCTACTGGGATGCAGAAGTGGTTCCTGACAGCTAATGCAAATTCGCTGCTACTGTTTGGAAGCATTTATTTCTGTATACTGACATGTCTGAGCAATCTTTCTATGTATTACTTACAGTAAAATTAAATTTTTAGGGAACCTTTTCCATCTTCACTTTGAAAATTTCTGGCTGGGGAAAACTCGCATAAGGAACCAAAGGAGTGTGTAACTTGTGACTGGAGACCTTGAGTACAGGATCAGTGCCAGGCTCCTTGTCCTCACAGCCACATCCAACAAAAGGCCACTGGTGTTTGACAAGTACCAAGGACACCAATGTGCTTATAGATGTGCCTGTGCTACACATGGCCTTTCAGAATGTGTCATTGCAGAATGATGATAGCATAAATTATGCTTACTTACAGAAGCCAGAATGAGTTTGCAGGATCCTCTCAAAACTTAGCATTTTACCAAATGAAAAAAAAGCTGCTATTTAGATGATGACCTGGTTTTTGGTGACACAGAAGTGAATATCAATAAGCAGTGGGACATTGGGTACAAGCCTAGAACAAATGCCAGACAATTTCAGTGTAGGAATTACTTCTGTTCATCACAATCTTCATAGCACAGCCTGTGGAGGAGAGACCGTGCACTGGCTCATTTTCAATGACTCAGAACATGACAAGACACGGGAAGACAAGCCTGTAGCTTATGTAAAAGTTGCTCAGCGTAAGTAAACAGGTTAGGCATGGAATTCTGCACACAGTGAATAATAAAAATATTAAAAATACTACAGAGTGCTTCCAGGTATCAGCAGTGCTTCAGAGTAAAACCAAGTGTGCCTGACTGCAGCATCCAGTTCCCAGCCTGCACACAATCCAGCCTGCCACACTTACGTTGTGTCCAGGGAATCCATGAGAGGCCGAAGCACAATCTCAGCATCAATGGCTGCACTGTTCTTATTGGCTGCTGCATTCCCATTTCCTCTCATTTGATTCAGTTCATTGCTCATTTGTCTTACACAATCTTCAATAACAAATTGGAAACTATAGGACGAAGAAAAAAGGAGAATGAAAGAATTCTGGGAGAAAAAACAATAATGATGATTTTGCATCAGGTTCCTCAACAAGACTTAAATATTTTCTGCAATGATGCAGTGTTCAAAGTCGAAGATACTGTGGTGTTACAGTCGGAAAATAAGTTCTACTGAGCATCACAGCTCATATAAATAATTCATGCCATGTTTTGATCTTTTCTCTGCATTGCTTCAATTCTGCCACAATTTTCATAGCCTTGTAGGTGTGCCAAATATTTATTTTCTGAAAGCAAGAGATGTATCAGAATCTATAGGTTAGATGTGATTGACTGCCAGCTAGGAACAACTTCTCAAGATTTTATTTTTGGTGTGAAAGGATGATACAAGCAGGTGATGATAAATAATTTTTCTCTTGATGGTTAATAGCAACCAGCTATTAGCTTTTATATTCTACTTGAGGTGAAATCAAAAACTCCTACTGATTCTACCCTGTTTGGCTCAATTTGACTTTTTCCAGATTTCACAGTCAGTGCCTTCAGAAGGTTTTTTTACTTCTTTCAACTACACAGCATTAAAACACTTGGACTGTTTAAAATATCCTTTTGCAAAAAAACCCCCTTGCTTTGAAGCACTCAGACTCTTCCTCCTGGGAGGAATCTTTTCCACTTCAAGGTGACTGTGAACACATCCTTCCTCCTCAAGTTTGCATCTGCTCAGCTTTTCTGAAAACTGTTCTATTTCCTAACTGATCTGGTTGAGTGTCTGACAGTCTTAAAGTGCTATTGATGTGATAATCTTTTGACAACATATTGACACAAAGCAGAAACACAGCAGTTAATCAGTCACCAGTTCAGAGGCAGGAAGAGTCTCTGCACACACAGTAATTTGGTTTATGGGTTGATTTGTGATGGATCAAAACGGTTTGGGATTAGTTTATGAACAGAAATGCAAAACAGAGGCCAAAAATACATGGGACCTGTTAAGCTGAATAGATAAATGGCAAAGATTAACTTGAGGAAAGTGAAAGAGAATTTACTGTGAGAGAAAAGAAACAATAAGTTGTTCCAGTAACATGGCTAATTGTAAAAAGAGAACACAAAACTCCATGTGACATCACTGGAAAAATCAGAAACTTTTCCAAAAGCACTTGGAAGTACACTTACCTACACACTTTAAAGCCCTAGTTAAAATCAACACGAGGCAGCTAGTGAAACTGCTCATGGAAATTCGTGGGACCCGTCCCTCCAACAAAAGCCAAAATAATGCATTGCCTTTCTTGACGTTAGACATCTTTCCAACGCTGTTAACCTCACAGACCCAAGCAGTAAACTGACCCATGAGGAATGTTCTGGCTATGTGGAGCATGTCCTACACTGAGCTATTCTGGGTTTGCTGTTGTAGAAACCTAGTTGTCTCATTCAGAAAGAAGCCCTGGAAAGAAATATTATTCATGCACTGTCAATGATCCGAGAAGCAGAGCCTGGGAGCAAAAGTACAGCAAGACAATACAACAAACTAAGCACACAGAAAAAAGCAGACTGTCCACCCAGACTGCCCATCGATGGATTAAATAAGCAACTACAGACTTTGCTTAATGAGCACTACTACAGCACTAATCCCTCTTTCTTCAATTTCTTTTTAATTTGAAGCAAAAGTAACTTGCTACTTATACCACAAGCACTGCTGGCACAGCACCGTACACATTCAAGACTGCAGTGTGCACTCTGATTAAGGAAAGGTTTTGAGAGTAAGGCTCAGTAGACAATTTTTGAAGAGCCACAGGCAAGCAAATGACCCAAGAAGGCCATTCACAATGACCACCTGAAGCAGGCTAAGCACAGGCAGACAGCCTGGTTGAAGCAGGCCACTTGGAAAAAGCTGTCAGTCTCAGGAAGGAACATAAACATTGTCAGAGAGGAAAGTTTCCCATAGCTTCAGGCAAAAAACCCCAGTGACATTGGTTTCCAAAAAGCAGAACAAAAGCCATCAGCCTCACCTCTGTAACATGTTCATGCCCACAGATGATGTTCAGTTGTCTTTACAGCGAGGTTGTTGTTATTTGTGTTAGAGTCTAAACACATACACACACAAATTCACACCACTCCACCAGGGTAGAAGCAAGCCATGCCTCAGGACATCCAAGTAACCACCCAGACTTCATCAGCGAGGGAGATTTTTTGAGCAGGAATATTCCCCTAAGGTTTGCAGTAAAATGGGTTTGTTACCTTGCAGCATACGTTACACTGAGTTCATCCAACACATTGCTAAGTTTCACCTGAAGTTCTTTTAGAACAACACTAGCTTCAGGATCCAGCTGCAAAGAAATAAATAGAATTTAATTTATTTATACACTAGGTTTCTGGGGTTTCCATTACAATCAATTAATTAGGAATTATGCACTATGGAAAACCAAATGTGGAAACACCTGTTGACACAGGATTGCTTTAGTAGGCCTTGAAATACAATTACCATTAAAAAAAGAAGAAAAAAAAATCTTTGATTACAGCAGGAAATATTTGTATTAGAAATAAAAACTGTGCCATTGAAAAATGACTTTCTGTGGGATTGTGGAAGTTGTGTTGGCAGTCACAAAGGAGAGAACTGTCATTATCAGGCCAGTAGTATCCAACAAGGCACACCAAGAGAAGGATGCTGGAGAAGTCACTGCTGGTGTTAATAGTAATGCAGATGCCTTCATATTTTTATTATTTTTGTACATTTCACTGCTGTTGGTATTTTGTTTTGTGATTTGCATTGAAGTTGTTTCCATATTTCATTTGTTTCCATAATGCAGTGTAAAATTAGAACAGCCAGCACTGAAAAAGATGGCTTGAAGAATATCCATGCCAATTCTACTGACAGAGGATGTGGGAAAGGACTCTACCAAATTTCAGTACTGCTGTTTTTAAAAGCCATTAGGCAAACAAAATTCAAGCACAGAGCAACATATTCTGATGCTCTGATACAGGTTTTCTAAACATAGGAAAAAAGTTAATGCAGGGGAGAAATATATTTTTACATTTACAGGCATGAGGATACATGCATGGATATTTAATCAAAAAGGTACCCCATTGATATTGATCAGCAAGCTTGTTTATTTGCCATGGATTCTTTTTCAAATAAAAAATAATAATTTTTTATATCCCTGATCTTTAGCAGAAAAAAATAATTACAACCCATTCTGGGATATGATAGGTGATCACCAGGATCAACAACTGAATGTGAATTAATAGCTGATGTTCCAGGTCTTTCAGCTGTCTACATCACAGTGTTAAGGAATGATTTCCAATGATAACCCTTAATTTGTGGATTCTGTTCTGCAATAAGGTCAGGTACAGATCTTCCGACAATTTCAAAGGACACTGTACATTCAGAATACATAATCAGGGCTGTTTCTATTTTCTATCTTTCAACTGCATGAGTAGTGTTTGGTGCTTATTTTTCCTCTGGTGCTTCAGAGCATTGCGGTGCAGCAGGTCAGTTCTTTTAATCACACCTCAGAGAAAAGGGGAGGTTGTTGCAGCACACGGGATAATTTACTTGAGACTACACAGGAATTCTACAGCAAAACAAACTGAAATAGATCCAATGATCTACTGTGTTTTAATCTTAGACCATCCTTTATCCCCTTAGAGGTTATGTGTGGGTTAAAATAATAGAAAATCCAAGATTTTCACTACAGGTTTTGACAAGAATCTGAAATAGGTGGTAAGGGGGAATTACCACACATCCTTTAGAGGATACTTGGTGTCATGTACTTCTCTTCTAATCTGAGATGCTTGTACTTTACTTATTACTGTAAGTACTTACTGTGACTACTTACTGATTTAGTTTTGAATTACTTTGCATTGAGAGAACTTCTTTTGCTTCTGTATATCTTAGTAGTGTCCCTGGCAGATACACTTTGACAGTTCATACACTTAAAGTGATTGCTTTCTTTCATATGAAGACCAGGAATTAAAAAGGCAATTTTACTGCAATGTCTATATTAGTAAACAAATTAAGACTTTGCTGTCAAAGGCAAAGATTTTTCCAGGAAATGTACATCACTAGGGAATTATACTGTCTCCTTTGGAAGGATACATACAAAGCCCAAATTTAAGACCATTAGAATATAAACATTTAACAAACACTGAACACACAAGCATTCACACTGAACATGATACATGTCAAGGAAAACAAAATACCAGGCAAGCAGAAGACTCAAAATTTCTTAGCAGATCATGCACAAACTAGAGAATCGCCTTGTTACTGGGCCTATAGAGGTCAATGGAGCTACTTTCTATCAGAGGTTGTGGTGATAACCAGAAAACAAAATGTATCTGCTAAATTCACCTGGAATTGAACTTAGTCCAGCCAAAACTGGATTGAATGCTAATGCCAGATTGTGGACAGTACACACATTATAGAAGGATGCATGCAACTGTTAAGCATTTTAGAGGCTTTGTGCTCACAAATTGCAGGAACAAGTTTGTGTGTGCACAGCTGGAGGCATCTGGCAGGACCCCCAGGCCTGTGTGTCCATGCTCATGCCCGTGGATGGGGTGGCACGGGGAGGAGTGTGACACAAAGAGGTATGCGGGCTGCCCGGGCAGGTGTGCCACACCTGGCCATGCTGGCATCACTCAGAAGATGTCAGCAAGAGTTTTAAATGCTACTTCTCTCTAGGTACTGGAAAATATGGTGATTTGGGTGTCTCACCAGAACTGAAATGTGCACTTTTCATTTTTTTATCGTGTGCTTTCTGTGTGCTAATGTTTGTCCTCAGGCATCATCCAAATGTGCCAGAGCATGACCTTTTCTTTTTCCTGAGATGGCAGAGCTAAGATGGAACCATGGAAGTGAGAGGCAATGCTGATCAGCATCTGAGATGATGTCATAGAGGGGAATATAGACATGAAAATGAAGTATTTTAGGTATTCGGGACTTCTCTTTTTCTCTTGAAATCTCATTTGCTTCATAGAGTTTGGTAAAGAAGGAATGAAAACTAGCAAACTTCCCTGAACATATTTCAGGAAAATAAAAGGAAAAGGCTCTACTTGAGCCTGATTATTTTGGGAAGAAAAAACAACAAACCAACAATAAATCCAGCTATGAGTGTCATTAGTGCACCATATCCAGTTTAAGCCACAAAAAAGAAAAGACAACACATTTATCCCTGGGACATTTGTATTCTGGATTCTGTTTACAGTTGCCAGCATGTGGACTAGCCTTAAAATACATTGGAGTAGGTTGCTCAGGTTTCAAAATTGGATTTTTTAAAGGAGCAAGTTTATTTCATTAATAATGTGTAAATCATTCTTAATATTCTTGGCTTTTCTAGGCTCATATTTCTGTTATTTTACCATGGTCTTAAACAGCAGAATTAAGTTTTACCCACATACTCATTATTTTGTTGGCACATCTATTGATTATGCATTATCAAAGAGACAATTAGAAATTTGACTTTTTCTGAATGCTGCACAAAAACTGACAACACATTTGCTGAACAGCTGAAAAAATAAGAAATAGTTAAACATCATAGCTTCCAAATTCTGCCTGTCTAAAACTGTGATTTTTTGATACAGACAAGCCTTGAAAATGAGTTAAAATCTGATGAATTTGGCTGCTTTCAGTGTGCTAAATTGAGGTACTTCCTGCTGTAATTTAATGTGTGCTAGTATGGACATAATCTTGTTAACTGCAAAATTGGTGGTGTTTCTGCAGGAAACTATAGAGATGCAAATTACTTTTGCATGAGTTAAATGGAACCTCTCTAATCTGAATCCCATTTATCTGCAATTTCACAGGTCTAATTACTTATAGTTTCCTAATGGGACCACCTGGTTACTTCCGTTCAGAAAACAGTTTTACATATTTTCTGTATATCTGGCAAAGATACAGCAAAGGTATTTATCAGCTCCATCACTTTAGGATGGAGCTTTAGGGGTTGTTTTTGTCTCTGATACACATCTCCCTTCCTCCACCCACAGCCTTGGGACAGTGAGATGTGAGATGTTTGGCTGCCACTGCTCTGGGTGCACTGGAAAGCACTTGGGCTTCTGTACAAGAGGTAAAGGTGGACACTTCAGAACAATTCTGCTCAAGTCTGGTCTTCTGTCACCCCATCAAAGTCTTTAAGGCCACATATAGATTCCTACAGGAATTCCTAAGATTTATATGTAAAGTTGGAACTGAATTTACCAAAGTGGGAATATGATTTATCTACAGTTAATATAATATTGTCATACATAAACAAGCCCCTTTTGCTTTACACTTTTTTTTTTGATCCTAATTACTGTAAATTATTTCTGCCATGTTCTGTCATCTGGTGTAAAGCAACACAAGCATTGGCTTCTCTTCTTTCTCTTTTATCAGCTTCCAGCTTGTCAGGCATGAAAAAAGTATTTAGTGCAAATATATGCATTCCTTTTGGATGAAACAAACAGGAGCTAAACCAAAATTCTGTGATGATGATCTGTTCTCACATTTTTGGACTTGATTTACAAAAAAGCAAACAATGGGTTGGATGCACTTTATTACTCTTTCTTACGGCAGACTGTTCTCATTGATATGATTTGTAAGCACCCTCCCTGCTTTGCTGCAGCAGAGAACAGTTAATAAAGAAGCCTATCTTGTTCAGACTATTTTATTTTAATGATGGGGGATCTGAGAAACCAGTTTTTTCTCTATTTATAGAGCTCCCTGCCTGCAATGTGCAATAAGCCTACTCTGAACAGAGGGACTGCTGCTTGATTGTGGTTATTTTGACTGCACAGTTTGAAAGACATACTGCTCACAGTGTGACACTGAGGAGATTAACAGCATTTAATTTTTCTTAGAATTAGTTTTGCTTCAACTGAAATAGGTCTCATTATTTTGCTGAAAATCATCTGACTTTTATGCCCTCCATAAGTGAAATATTAAACTGTTTTTTTCCTTCAAGGAAACTGCTTACAGATTTTATTGCTGGCTTTGTTTCTTCTAAGTACCAGTTCAATAAGCCAAATTGGCCATTAGCAGTTGTGCCTTTGGAACAGAGAGAGGAGTAAGTATTCGAACTGGAGGACAAACATTTTAGTGGTGACTTGATATGGGTGAAAAAAAATTGAACATGAATGTGCTTTCTTCAAGAAATTGCCCTAAAAGTCTGAATGTCTTTTTAAGATCCTTTCTCTTAGACTGTGAGTCAGAGATGTACTTAAGACATCTAATGAAGGGATTATAGAAAAATATATCCAAATTGTCTCCGTGGGTTGCATGTCGCACCATATTTGTAGGAAATTCTGCTTTGATACTGTAACAACCTTAATAATTCATCCTCATTAACATCAAAAGGAAACAAAAAAGGATGAGAAGTCATAAGAAGTTTTGAAAGAAAATTGCTATGAAAAATTCCTAATTTTTAAAATGTTATTATATAAGGCATTAGGAGCAAATGAAAAACCAATATTTTCTTGGGGAAAAGGGGACATTTTAAAGATTCAAGCAAATATTCAGGTTGAAAATAATTTGATAGAAATAGATATAAAATGTGACTCAGCTTTCCTCTGCCCTTGTCATTATCCCAATTTATGGACATTTACCTGTTTTCATGAATCATGACATTAAAAATTAAGTTTGGATCCAAGACCTAATACAAAAGTACTTTGCACAGAACATAAAAGCATGGAGGACAAGATTACTTGTAATATTCAGAGAGGGAAAGGTGTATAATAGGAACCACAAAAACAGCCACTTCTGGATGATGAGTATTTATTTTCAAAGTTTGGTAGGAAATTTGCAGTGACAAGGCTGCAGAAATTGATTTCCTGTTATCCAGAGCAGGAGGTATTTCTGCTGTAGCAGAAATTCAAGGCGCAGTTCCTGGCTCAGCAGAGCCTCCACACCCTGGAGTGACTCTGAAGGTGCATCTGGAGGCTTCAGTTCCTTGTGTGGCATAGGGGACCCATCTCACCTCTGCAGGGTCCCACTGTGGATGTGCAAATATGAAATGCTGTGTTTTTCAGTTTTCTCCATATAGTGTGGCCACATTAGATCAAAATTTTGGGAATCTATCAAGCTACAGCCTCAAGAAGAAAAAGGATGATGTATGCAAAACTTAATTTTTAAAGCCAGCTATTGATAATATGGGTAGGATATTCATGTTCTAAACACTGCTTCTCAACAAGTAGACAGGATTTTTTCTATGGCTATGAAGATATGTTAATTTCTTCATCATGTTTTAGAACAGTGAAAGACTACAGTCTGGAAGATACTGAAGCACTGTTTATGTTCTTTTACTGTTGGACAGGACTTCAGGCTCTTTTAAATCTTCTGAAATGAAAAAGGGGGTAAAGCTGAGGATGTTTTGAACTGTCGAGTAACAGATCTTGGTGAAATGGTATCTTGAATACAAGCAGGCCCTCAGATATTGAAAAGTGCACTTAAAACATTTTATAGATTTTTTAAAACTCTGAAAGGGTATTGCACTATCGGCTTAGTAAAACTTTTCAGTTTAGTGTCAACTGAATGCCCAAGCATAGCTCTTTTTGATTTTAGATCGTAGGGAATTACACAGATGCATCAATGGAAATAAGTAGAAAATGTGACTGTTTTTAGCTTTAGAAAATATGGTCAGGAATAATAAAAGATGCTTACTATCACAAACCTCATAAGAGAATCTCTCTCCTTCTTTCTTCTGCTCAGTGGATTGCAAGTCAAAGGCATCAGACAAAGACAATGACACATTACAGACAAAACGTACCAATACATAAAAAGCAAAGTATAGTCCAATACAAACATTAAAATAAAGCTGGCACTACAGATTGCAACACATAACACCAGTGCTGAGAAAACATTACAGATCATTAGCATGTGTCTGTGAAATAGTTATGTCATTAGGACAGTAAATAGGTCTTGTGGACTTTTTTTAAAGCATTTTGGGTTTTTTTGCAAGTAGAAGTGAAAGCTTTGAGTAGGTTGCAAACATGGTGCTAATGATCTCTAAGGAACTTTGAATGAACCAGGAAACAGATATGACTCACCTCCTTCCCTCCCATGGACTCAAACATTTTCTCAAGCTGGACTCTTAATTGCTGAATGTTGTTCATCAAGATACAGGCCTACAGAGAGAGATCAAATGTGAGACTTCGCACAACCAATTCTTCAACAGCCCTGCATTCACAGAATTAAAGAAACATTCAGGTTGGAAAAGATTTCAAAGACCATCTTCACTCATACAGCTGTGTTTTTTAGAGGAACTTTGCAGAAAACTGTGACAGTACTGTAACCCAGCTAATGGCTGATGCTTGAATAAATCAAGAGGCAGTTCTGTTAATAACAGAATAATATTTTAGAAATAATTACTTGAAAAGCTGGTGAATAAATTAGGCAATAGAACTCTGTAATCATATTATTTTAGTCTAGAAATGTTGCTGTTTAAGCTAATTTTTAAAGGAACACTGTGCAAAAGAGCCACTGTGCAAAAGACAGAAATTTCTGTGTTCATAAAAGGCTAAAAGTAAAACATTAATAAAAAGAAGGAACTAGTTACAAAAATCATGGAAGAAATAATTTATTACTAGAATCTTGTGTACTTAGATGACTTTATATGCTGGTTTGTTATGGTGCAGATGAAGGAATCAGACAATACTTACCAAAAGAACTGTGGCTGGCCAAGGCCAGTGTGACTGGATTAATTTAGACACTGAGGAAATGCATTTCACTAAGACAAGTATATTTTTTTTCAGACAACAAGGTGGTGATGAAATGATTACAGTGGTTGATACCCATTTATACCTTTCTAGTTAATAGCACGTTCTAATGTACAGCTGAAGCATGATGGGCTCAATAACATGATTTAGCTTTAATTATTAATACATTACTCTCATAGGAATTTGGTGTCAGAGTCCTTCTCAACTTTGAAGAAGAAAAAAAAGAAATTTGGTTTAACTTCTTACTACTTAGATTATTCCTTCCCAGTGAAGCATGCTGCTCCTCCTCCTACAGAATGCAGCTGGCTTTGTGTAGCTGAAGTGTCACCTCTTTGCTCATCTCTTGAACAACCCACAAGCCCCACTTTTATTTGTCTGTCAACCTTCTATTAATTTACAATCACTAAGATTGTATCCTCCTTACCTGTACTATCTCCTGACTTCTAACAAATGAATTATTTTGGAAATTATCTGCAATATAACAAATCAATAATTATGAGAGTTATGATTTGTGATGGGGGTATAAGTAGCTGAATATAACATCTTGTTCCTTTTGTTCCAAACATATGCAAATGCCTTTGGCAATACACTGAAGCTATGGGAGAAACACTTCACACAGAAGCCATTTCAAAGTTTCCTTTGAGGTTGGCTCAGGTGGCTCTTTCAGAGCCTAAGCCTACCTTGGCTCCATGGAAACTTTGCTATTGTTGTCAGGTAAAGATAGTTACTTAAAAACATTCTCATTGTATTTCATTATCTCTCCTACCCTTCAGAACAGTCTGTGCAGCAGTTTACAGGAATCAGACAGATGCAACAACAGGTAAAAGTGGGTGGCAGATACAATATCAGAACCCACATTTGTTTGTAAATGCTGACAGGAGGTGGAAGATAAGAGGCTGTTTTTACATTAGATAAACACCTTTATGAAAAGCATCTTTGATATGCTTTTATTTGAACAGTTTATATGCACATTTTGCAGTGTTTAGTAAGACTACTAACAGTATTGAAAAAGAATGCCAAATTCTAATTTGAATAATAAAAAGTATTCATTTTAATCTCTTCTATTAACTTTAAGGCAGATGAACATTTATTGTAGCTGGAATTAGCAGATCAAATGGACTTTTATTAAGATATGCAAGTATGTAAGGCAAATTCTGTTAAAAAAAGTTATTTCCATCAAAGGCATTTGAGACAATACTTTATACCTGGTTTAATGGAAGGTGCCTCTGCTCACAGGAGAGGGGTGGAAGGAGATGATCTTTAAGGTACCCTCCAACCCAAGCCACTCTTTAATTCATAATGAGATTAATTTCATCTAAAGCCTTCACAAAGATAGATATATGAGAATGACTTCAGAAATGATTCACTCCAACAATTAAAATCTCCCATTGGATAGGCCAAAAGACTACACAAACAGTTAGACTTGATGATTCAATGCTTTATTAGAACTCATTTCTTCAAGAAAGCAGTGAGCTTTATTTAATATTAACATTAAATTCATAGAACTCCCAGTGTTGGATATTTAGCTGCAATAGGTGTCTTTCTAAATTCTACTATTGTGTGTATGTTGGTGGCCTGTAGGCCATCACACTCCCCCTAACTAACAGAGCACTGGCAGATGTCATGCCCAGGATGTGACACAAGGACAAGGAGGTCTGTGATGGTTCAGGGCTGTACCATTGGAGGCGAACAGTCTGAGGATGGGGCTGCAGTTATTGATCCAACTGCAGATTGGTACAGCTGAACAAAACACCACCAAATACAACAGTCATGGTGCTAAAAGCTGCCTGCCATGGGAGAACTAGCTTAGATTGAATATCAATGATATTGAAAAGCCAGTTCCCAAGAATACTTTTCCTTGGTCTTGTTAAAATATTGAAAATGTCTCAACTACATCTTTAGTGTCCATATCTCATTTATTTCTGAGTCCATGGCAATATGATCCTTCATTAGGGACTCCCTTGTAAGCGCTGAGGCAACAAAACAGCACAATTTTCTCCTCCCCTCTGCAGGGGTGAAGCACAGAGAGCAGCAGCAGAAACCTCTGCACACAGAGAGCAGGGAGATTAGAAACTCTCCAGTGCACAAACTGACACACAGAGGCAAGGCAATGCCAAGTGAAAACCCTAAACAAAGACCTCTTATTCTGTCTGAGAAACAAGATGAAGCTAGATTCACCATGTTCACAGTAGTATTAGGCTGTTATCCACTGCATGTTTGTAGGCATCTTGTAATTATTTTATAACTTTAATACTGAAGTTATTAACTAGGATTCTTAACTAATTTAACTTACCGCAACTTTTATACATCACTGTAAGCAGCTATGAAAACATGCTGACCTCCCTCCATTCATGTTTTTTTCATATAGAGAACTGATTACATTTTCAAAAAGTACAGTAAGTCACTTACAGGTAATTTCTGAAGCAGAAAAAAGCCACAGCTTCTTACTCACCACATTTTCTTTATCACAATAAGAGCTGAAGTAACTTGAAATAATTGCAGCATACTGAACAAGTACTTTGTTGATAGTCTAGAAGAGGAGAAGACTGTTTTAAATGGTGAATTTCATAATGTAAACCAAAAATAATAAAAGAAGAGGTTTGTACAAATGATAGGTTTTACAGGTGCTTGCACACACAGTGTATTATATTTTTTAGATATAGTATAAACAATCCTGTGAGCACATTTTCAAACCCCTGCACAGCAGATGGTGGGTAGTTCTAATTGTAAAGCAATCTTCAATAGCAGAGATAGTTTAATTTTAGCAGTACTGTTTTTGAGAAGCACTGAGAACTCCCCTCCTTGCAATGTACTACATAATTAATGGAACAGTAGCAACCTCAAAAAATCCTCCAGGGTGACAATACGTAGACTAGAAATATAATGGAAATATAAGACAAAAGGAGCACTGTTCAGAGCCTGGCAATATGAGTTACCTTACAATAACCATGTAAATAAGAACTCTGCAAATGGAGAATTGTTGCAAAGAAAGAACAGAATTAAATGTAAATGTGAACTTTTCTAAAGCCAGCAGGACTGTAGTGGAAATTCAGAGCTTGTGAGGAAATGTAACTATCCAAATAGAAAGCTGGCAGAGTTGAGTTTATCAAGCAGCAGGTGAATAACTACCACCTCAAGACTTCAAATAAAAATAATTTATGGCCATATCTTGAATTTTTCCTTCACTTGCACTGCCTAATTAGTTAACTGCGTTTCACTGAATGGTTCCATTAATGGAACTGCAATTGGTTCATAGCAAGATAACAACTGATGCATACAGAAAATACATAAACGTGAAATCTCAGAGAGGATAGAACTTCTCAAACTGGTAAATCATTTTGACAAAATAGACCAAACCAGCCTTAAGCCACAGACAGCATGTCTTTCTTAGGATCCCAATCAGATAGAAAACACTGATTCAAAAAGCACTTAGCTTTTAAGTACATGGCAACACAGTGTCATTCTCTCTGAAGCTTAGTTGAGATGCATTGACTTTAATTTACCTTTGCAAATCTTCTCATTAAATGAGACAGTGCTTCTGGATTAGGACACTCCAATTTCCTAATAATCTCAAAGCTTTGATTGAGCTGTGTGAAGACATCAACCACAGAACAAGAGAAGAGGGCATGATCTGATGTTTGCTGAAACTAGAGAGGAACATTCAAATGTTAATATTTGTTCAGAGATGAAAACTGTGTTCATTGATTCTTAGACTTGAAATTCATCCTAGAGTCATAAAAAGTAATAAAGGAAAAAAGAAGTCTCCCTAGTAATACCAAGAAATGTGTTTTTTCACTTTTCTACTTTTGAATATTTTAAAAATAAAACCAGAATTTTCTTTCATGACATCATTATCACATCATAGGTTAATGAAATGATACCATGGAATGAATTCTGTGGGGATTTAGGCAGAGGGAATTAGAACAGGATTTTCTCTATAAGGTATCTTCCAAAAGCTGTTAACTCTTGGAGTCTAAGAAGGATGTTGTGGGACCAAACGTACTTCTGGTTTTGTAATAATATATGTATTGATACTTTCTTTATTCCCCTCTTTAAAAAGATAAGGCTCACCCCATCTTTTTTGTCTCTTTCTAGTGCTCCATGAAGAAATTCCATTGAGACATCCTCATTTTCATCCAGCCACTGTATGACAAATGGTTCAAACCACCTGAAAATTAAAGGCAATTTTATAAAGTAGATAGGTTTCATAAAGATCCCAAGAGTAGAAATGTTATAATACCCAGCAGTTTGGCACCTTGTGTTTTCAGATATGTTGTAATTGCTAAAGATTTCAGCAACCCTGGAAAAATTTTCTTAACCAAAATACTGCAGCTACCAAAAGGCTTTTCAGGCTTCAGTTTCACAATACTCTCACTGGTGTACCCTGGTGATATAAAATTAGCAGTAGCCAATTCTCTACCAGTGAAGCATGGCAGGTGTGCACCTTCTATGAATATTGGCTCTTTGGTAACATTTATTTTTTATTTGTATATAAAATAACTTGTATATAACTTTGTTTTAGTAAAAATCAGCTCTTCTATTTTTCTTTCATTTACTTAAAAAAGAAAAATTGAAGGAATAACAGGCCTCAAACCATCTCGGCAAACCAGCGGACTTGCAGAAGATTAAGGATAGCTCCTATACATGGACAGGATTGAATATATTTCTTGCAGGGAGACAGGTGAAAACAAAACCAGTAGCTGAGTATAACCTGATCCAGTAAGAATTATTTCAGTAGTATATCCTGTTAGCATTACAGCTTTATCCAAATTTGGTTATAAAACAAATGCAGGACCTACAACTAATAGTGCTGCTGTTCCCACATGTCATACCTTCCTCAGATGTTTTCTGAACAAAGCATTTTTTCATCTCTGAAGACTGGAGTTACAACAACTGTAGAAGCGCACGAAATAGCTAATTGCACATTTAACACCTAGACTATTTCACTTGATAGAATAAAGAATTAAAGAGAAGGAAGTGCAAAAAGTAGTTGGTGCTACACACCTTGAGGTCTTGCACAAACCTGAGCATAAATATTTGACCAAAATAAACCTTGCATGAAGCCCAGGCTCATGGAAGCCTCCCCAAAACACCACTTACAGAGAGTATTCAGGCACTGCATCCTTGAAAGCAGAGAGCTCTCGCACATATTCATTATAAAACCATTTCACTTTGAAGTGCAAATTCATATAATCTGTGCTTTTGCATAATCGCTGCTTTTCGTGTTCTGTAATAGAAGGAGTGGAAATAAAAGCACTTAATAGTGTTCTAACAGTAAATAACATTCTTGTGCCTCAGTGCACTGGTGACATAATAATACAGGACTTGCATTTTAGAGCATAATTGGTTTGATTTTTCTCGATGTAGTAATATCCGCAATTTCAATTTTCAGGATCTGAGTACCCTTAGGAAAAAGAAAACAAACTAAAGACCAATCCACAAATTAGGCTTCTCCCCTCTCTTCACTGCAGTGAGAAAAAAACACGAATTTTCTGACTTCCCCTTCTTTAGATCCTTCTTTGGCTGTCACAAAATAGTTAAGCAGCTTTTGTGTGTCAAGCTAGAAAAGACAACTATACTGTGTAGTAGCCAGAGGAAGTAACAGCTATAAATGCCAGTCCTACAGGAATCTGTGAAAGCTGCATTTATCAGAGCTAAGAAAATGAAAGAGGAGAAAACTCCACAGCTCTACAGCCATCTGATTTATGGTACAAGTTGAAAAGATGGTTTAATAAAGTGGTTTTGAAATTTTTCAAATGGACTTCACGTTCTCAGTGTCCTCGTGTTTTCCACATAATGAATGTGCAGATGGAGGTGGGTGGCAGAAATCATGCAGTCACCTGTAACCACTTTCTGCATTTTTAAAATCTGATTTGTTTGGAACAAATGTCCATCTTTCTTCCAGGATTTTGATCCTTTTTTTAGCTTGTACACTGTGCTCTACATTCTTTACCCAGCCACTGCAGACCTGGACAGCTCCGTTCCTTCTCTCTTCATCTTTGCTCAAATCTTTCATTTCCTTCTCCCTCAGCATGAAACCAGGGATCCACAAGTTTTGGGCAGAATAATCATACCTTTGTTTACTACTCACACCTTCCTAAAATCTCCACAGATCTCATCTGTTTGAGATGTCATGTGACTTGCACATTCTTCCCTAAGCAAAAGAGTAATTTCTTTTCCCAGCTCCCTTAAAAAATGACTTAATACAGGTGCTCAGCAGGAATAATGTTCTTGTGTAAATATTAGATATTAAGAACTTAACAGTTTCAAACTTCCTTTTTGCTCCTTACTTCTGCTTGCTTTGCAACACAGCATTATACAAATCTCATATATTTGGATGGGAACCTAATTTTCTGTAACAGCAGGAGCATCCCATCCTCTGTCATACACTTGAATGTAGCATTGGATTCTCTGTCAGTGAAAATGCACTGTGAATGACACATTCTGTGTTTTCAGATCTAGCCAGTTACACTAGAAGGAAATGTTTATTTTTATTATTATGCCAAATCAGCACTTCAGTAGCACACCATGCCATCCAACAAGTGTTTCAGAGGCATTTTATTATGCAGTGAGTTACTAAGTTTTGTGTAAATCGGCTTATAAAGCGCCCCTGTGGGCTTTTATTGCCTTTTTAGCATTGCAGTAGCATTTTCACCTTCACTGCCTTTCCATCACACTCAAGAAAAATCACTAAATCAGTTTCTGTCTAAATATTGCATTTATTCATCTTCATGCTACTTGAGAGTACTACAAACTCTCCCCAGCACAGTATCATTGTTACTAGCATAAAACAGGACCACAGAGAGAAAGATGTTCCCTTGTGTCATGTTTCTGAGGAATCTTTTTTTTTTTTAGGTGGCAAGTTTTTCACAAACTAGTACAGAAAGCTAGTTGAAAAAACATTTGCTCTATAAAAGGTACTATTACAAGGTAGACCAGCATTTAACTGACAAAAATTATGTTATTGCTATGAAATTCACTGCACATCTGCTGCTTAAGTAATTGTTAAAAATCTATCCTAGATTGCATCCCAAAAGAATGGATTTTCTGAAATGAATATAACTTTTTTTCATTCAAGCCTTTAATAAATGGGATGTTAGATTATGCAGGGTAACTTAAGAATATTTGCTATAGTATCACAAACCAAAGAAATGGTTATTTCAATTTTAGAAATGAGCTACTGCCACTAATTGGCAAATTTGTCCAGGAGGGTGCAACTTACACATACCATTCACTAATATTTTCTTTTCAAGGTTAGGATTTATAACACATTAAAAATGAGTACAAAAGTAATTCAGGAATAACTGAACTTTTTTTCTGCAGTCTCTTATGCCTTGTAGAGAATATTTGAAGTCTCCTGGGATATTATTTCTTGTTACATATAAGTGAAAAATGTATCTAGAATCCCTGACACTAATGTATGAGAACATCAGCTGTTGTCTTTCAACAACGTCTGTCCTATTTTATAGTATTTCCAAGTCAACATTTCTTATCTCAAAGTTTACATACAAACACATACTATGTGAGCCTTCTGTCAAGTTTTAGAAATTTTCTACAAATCTGTTTCCCACAATCAGCAAACACTTCACAGGACATATGAGGTCATCAGTATCCATGCATTTTACCTCTTCAGTTCATATAAACCAAAGAAAGGAGCAAACAGGTGCCCATATGAGTCAGCAGTGACAAATTTAACTGGATAATAGATGGGTTTATCCATGGCAGCCATGGATTTCAGTTACAAAGTGCAGCAACATCACTGTAGGTGTTCTGAATTTAGATTAGGACCAATAGATTGCTTCCTTAATTTCTGAATATCTTGCACATGCTAATGTAAATGTGAGCCAGCACAGGGTATCTGGATGCATTTTGGAAATCTGTGTCTATTTTCCTGGAGGGAAAGCTAGTGCCATGTTTCCCTATACAGAAATATCCATGTAGGGCTTTCTGGAAGACCAATGTAGTAGCTGCACAATATAACTCTTTTTGAAAAACTCTACTCTTGCTTTGCAAAATTATTATCCTACTCAGTCACTCTGGAACTAAACCTGCCAGTTGTGTGCAAATGTGCTCTTGGGAGAGATGATGGCAGAAATACCTGAACATTCTCATAACTGATTCTAGGTAAGGAAATCTCCAGTACAGCAAAGCTAACACTGATTATGTTTTTTATTTTGTGCTGCTCCTTTTCTGACACATTCCTTATAGTGCAGCATATTTTTATAAGCATCTACTGATCTAATAAGTTTCATAAAGAGGTCTTGTTCAGTTCCCGTGCTGGCATATTGTGTATCACTGTATCATGCATCAACAAAAAAATACTGATAAGATTCTTGTAAACTGTAACATCTGTAAATTTAGTTGTGTGTATGGGGCACTTTATCTGCTTTTAGGAATTGCAGTTCCAGCAAGTGTAACCTTTTTACATTGTTGATACCACTTGGGTGGGGGGGAATATCTCCTTAGGGGTGATGCTGTAATACACGTGCTTTCACAACAGACACTGTAAATGCAACCACACTGAAAACTGTGTGGAATTGTCCCATCTCACTGCCACAAATCACAGAGATAGGAATCCCCTTAAGGAGACCTCCAGTAAGCAACAGCACTGAAGGAAAAAAGATAAAATCTGCTCCCATGTTATTTGTATACTCGAGAATGAAGACAGATTGTTTTTAAAAGCTATTACAGGGAATGCATTAATGCATGCAAAAGAAGTTGGTGTGTGATGAAATCAGCACAGACCTGGTGATGCTGTATCTGGCACGTAATTTAATTGCAGACAGAAGTTCTTTCAGAGAAAAATTGATAAAGGAACGTAATAGGAAGGACTATAATCCAAGGTACTTTCCTCACAGGCTTAGACCGAACAACAGTACTTTGGAATCATGTTTGAGTTTTTGTTAATTTTTCCAGCAATTGCTGAAGAAAGCTGAGAAGATTTTCTTAAAACAACAAATAAAAGTCATAATGATGACTTACTAAGCAGAAATATCTACATGACACTAAGGACAATATCATTTAACAAACTGGAATAGAATCTTGTTCACTACAGAATCCTTTTTTCTTTTTAACCTTGAGGTAATAACATCACTCTGAGTTTCCATGTAATTTTTGATATATATTAGTTGCTGAAAAAGGAAAAAAGGGTAATCTAAAAACCTTCATAAAAGATGAACATGTTGAATATTCAGATAATCAAATTGATATTTTGTTCAACTCTGATTTTCCTTATTTGGGTACAAAAACTCAGAGCAATTTTTTTTTCTACAGTGGTTTCCAAGCCAATATTTTTTAAAAACATATAGTTAAGCTGCTTGAAAGATTCTAATAATATAGTTTTAAAGTATATTTCAAATCTTTATGAACAAGAACTTCAAGGAAATTAGTCTGTAAAATTTAACAAATTGACTACAAAGACATAAATAGATTTTTCTAAAAAACCCAAACTTGTAGTTTTCAGGCTTTATAAGTAATGTTTCAGGGATAAATAACTACTATAAAGAGTATCTATATGTAGCAAATTAATTTCATCACAACCAGCTTGTTTAACTGACATACATTCTACTGCTCTGCAGTTTATTAAACAGAAGTGGTTGAGACTAAGCATATGGGATTTGTGTTTGGATTAGCTGCAAATTTTCCCATCAAAACTCAAAAAAGCTGTTATTCTCAACCATTGTGACATAATTTCATATTATTTGCAATAATTACCTACCAATTTTTCTAGAGACTGCCAGCTGCTATCTATTTTTTCCAGAACTGCTGTTTCAGAAAACCTGCTATTTCCAAACTTGCAGTCATATAATTGGGAAGGGTAATTGGGAACACAAAACTGAGTACAGCTAGAGAAAGCAAAGCTCCAGTAAGGAATGATATGGATGGAGTATGCATTGGTATTCCTCCCTCTGAATCACTGTGGCAATGTTACCTGAATAATGCACCTCTGTTTTGGATAAAAGTAGAAGTTAATGTTCAGTGCACCTGATCCCAGTGCAATTTTCCAATTTTCACAATACAGGAGCAGTTGCTAAGCCACAGCCTCTTTTATGCTTATAGTGCTCTAGATTTAATCTCTATACTGCTGAAAGAAACCTGAAGCCTCTGATTGTATGAATGTAACAGCATACAGGCCACAAATGAAGAAAAAAATTAACTCGAAGTTTGTCACTGATTTAGAAGAAAACATTACATTCCACTAGCATCTCATCCCAGGATTCTTGTACT